ATTTTTTTACAAATCATTGATAAGATAGAAGAGATCTGGTAATTAAAATGATACATAATAAAATTTGAATAAAACAATCCTGTTCATCTTATATCTTTGTCCATCTCATATCACTGATGTCCTTGGAAACTATTCTTTATAAAATTGCACACTCATGACTCTGATAGTTCTTCAAAAAAACATTCCACATAAAATCCACGATTGGATGCCAGCTAGTTCATAAAAAATATTATTTCAAAAAAATCAACGCTTGGTGCTCTGATGGTCTTTGATAAAATATGCCTTTTAAAATTCTTGTGGCCTTGATAATCTTTGAAAAAAAAACATCGTATTTAATACAAGTTTATGGCTCCAATAATCCTTCAAACAATATTTTTAGAATACGAACGATAATGACTCTGACAGCACCTGAGAAAAGGTTTTAATAAAACCCACGCCTTAGCTCTGATAATCCTTGAATGATTAATCTCTATAAAAACCAAATTATTTGCTCTAATATTATTTTAAAAATCCAGGTTTGTGGATCTAATATTCCATAGATTTATTTTACTAAACTTACCCGATACCCATTGATTGTAATTAGAGTACAATTATTCGGTTCACCATTCCGATGTGTATAGAATCGAACATTCCAACGATCCGATTTTAATTCATGACGATTCCTCTGGATATTGTCATAATGATAGAGATAACTGTGAATGAAATTGTATTGTTGAACGCGACGCGGCAAAAGGGGTTTGAGTACGCCTAACATCGACACCAATTGGGATTTGGTACATTCAACCAAAATATCACCGTCAGACATGTTGACTGCAAAATAGATTTTTTTCAAATGCCGATATCTTACCCATTCGATGGCTACAACGAGACTAACAGTTATGTTATCAACTATTTTCTGAAATAAAATATTATCTAGAAAGTTTTTCTATCGTTCTGTTTACCCCCAATTGGTCTAATCAGCTGTTGATAGTAAGACTGTTAATCAAATTTATGTAAACAAATGTTTATTTGAGTGTGTGTGTGTGTGAGTGTGTTCTCCCAATGTTGAGAAATTATATCTCTGGAAAGATGACATTTATCGACAATAAAACGTGTAGATTAGTCTGCTTATAATACAGTCAAGTATGTTTATAACGAACCTGTAGGGACCAAGTAAATGAGTTCCTTATAGAAGAAGTTCGTTATGTCTAAGGTTCGTTATGTTAAATAATATCAATAGGTTTCTGAGATTAATTTTGAAACAATATAAACCAGTGAGCGGAACAGTATAGTTGGACGGGCCGACCATGTCATACTCTACACAACTACCACGGAATTTTAACTTTCTGCGGTTGTTTATTCCGAGCCTGGGCAATGTTTCGTAATATTTACACCCTCTTGCCGATTAGGTGTCAACAGCATCTCCTCCTTACACTGACATATTTTGCGAATATCACTAATATTCAGTACAGCCCTTCAAATTATTTGTGATGGTCTATAGATCGACTCGAAAAAAGCTCAAATAAATTAAGTTTTCGATCCATATCATCCCAAAATTATTATCTGATCATCACCGAAAATTATAGGCGTTGTCCTTGACCATAACTAGAACCTCGTGGAACATTTCAAAGCGATCAGCGCAATATTTCCGCCTTCTAGTGTTGTAATGGGTTACTAAATAATATATGAATACGCAAGCAACTGCAAATATTTAAGTTTAACTCGCACATCCGAGTACATACGACAATATAATTGGTATCAATTTAAAAATCAACCACTCCTCTACGAACTTTTCTCGATGTAGCATACAAATTTTGTAATTTTTTACACAAAAGCCAGGGTCCATTAGATTCGCTAAATATTGGCAGATCTTTATCAAAACAAGTATGCTTATTCTTTGGTCCGATCCCCTTCTCCATTTAATGTTTTGGTCATAATTTCGAACTCTGGAATTTCTTTCGCTCCAGAGGTCGAAATTATCAGACAAAAATAAAGCTTTTGGTCCTTTTTACCCCCTAAATATTAACCGATCTTTACCAAAAACAATAGGGGTCTTCATTGGCCAGAACCCATCTTTCATGCAAGATAGAATGGTGGGTCTTGGACCATTGCAAACTGTTGGTGTTGCACAAAGCTATAATAACCTGACAACATAGTAGTGTAGGGTATAAAAACAAAGTGGATACTTATGACTGTGACTCACTGTAATTCTCAAGTTTACCGATTTTAGAAGTTCAGAAACCAAAACATACCTGTGGCTGTCATAAGGAAACGAGACATACCTTTTGGTTCCTTTTGAGAATATGCATAGAATCACTTTCTGAGTCGATCTGTCCGTCAGTCCGCCTGTTGATGTTAAATTATAAACCATGAACAGGTCGCATTTATGATTTGATTTGGATGAAATTTGACACAACTCACTTATATGGCCCAAGGATGAACCTTATTGAAATTGGAGAAAATCAGTTCAGATTTATATATAGCTCCCATATATATTTTCGTCCGATTTAAGGTAAATGGTGCACCAAAGTCCCTTAAAATCGTTCGATTTGCACGAAATTTGGCACAGCGTAATGAATTAGGTCTAAAATGATGTGTGTTAAGTTTCCTGAAATCGGTTCAGATTTAGATATAGCTTCTATTTCTGACCAAATGAAAAATTTAGTATCGGTTGCAGAATGACATGTTTGTGGATCCACTTTTATTTTACTGGTCCTTTAAAAATGAGACGCCTGCTAGGATTCATCTGTTGAATATACCCAAAGTTGTGAAGGGTATCATATAGTCGGCCCTGTCCGACTTTAATACTTTCGTTACTGGTTATAATTACATCTATATATTCGCTTTAAAAGAGTTCCACCTTGATCACGAAGATTTGAGGAAATTTAGTATTTTTGGTGCGTTGCGTGTTACAAGATCATCATTGATAACAATTGTCGGTATATCTTCTATATAAATATCCCGCTCATTATTCATTGCATCGAAAGTCGGGGCAGTAAATAAATATCAGTACTGTTATGATAGAGATTTTGTGACCCAATGTTGCCCAAATGTTTTAGAGCTTATATTTAATACGCAGCTAGTAGATATATATTATTTGAATTTCATATGTCAAGACCTGATTATCGACACATATTTTATGTAAATGATGCATTAAACTCCCAATATTTGTCCAAATAAGACAAAATTTTACATGGCATACTGACGTAAGTTCAGTTTAATGTCTGTGAAGTTTATTTCTGCTGATTCCATTGCAATAGGTTTCCAAAGATACGCTCTTCTATCCAGTCGGCCCCGACTACCATTTCATTAATTTTAAGTTAAAATGACCATGTTGGCATTAAAAAGGAATAAAATTTAATTCGTTGATTAACAAGCACTCATCGCATTTTTATACCCTCCACCATAGTATGGAGGGTATATTAATTTTGTCATTCCGTTTGTAACTCATCGAAATATTCATTTCCGACCCTATAAAGTATATATATTCTTGATCAGGGTAAAATTCTAAGACGATCTAGCCATGTCCGTCAGTCTGTCCGTCTGTTGTAATCACGCTATCTTCTGATGGAATTGAGATAGGGTGCTGAAATTTTGCATAGGGTTGTCTTTTGTCTGCAGGCAGGTCAAAATGGGATATATCGGTCCACATTTAGGCATAGCTCCCATATAAGGGTGCCCGCCAAAATTCTGTATTTTGGGGTTCTTGAGCGCGTTTTTCAGCCGAATTCGCTGAAATTTGGTACATTGAGTTCTTATTGGATACTACATGTCTCCACAAAAAAATATAAGTATAGGTCAATATTTTCTGGTAGCCCCCATATAACGGTACCTCCTAATTTTCAGTATTTTGGGGGTTTTGGTCGTATTTTTCTACCGAATTGGCTGTAATTAAGTATTTTGAGTTCTTAATATGTACCAAATCTCTCTACCAAAAATTATGTATATAGGTCCATTTTTGCGTGTAGCCTCCATATAAGGGTACCCCCCAATTTTCGGTATTTTGGGGTTCTTGTGCGCGTTTTTCGGCCGAATTCGCTGAAATTTGCTACATTGGGTTCTTATTGGGTCCTAAATGTCTCCACAAAAAATTATAAATATAGGTCCACTATTTCTGGTAGCCCCCATATACCGGTACCTCCCAATTTTCAGTATTTTGGGGGTTTTGATTGTATTTTTCCGCCGAATTAGCTGTAATTTAGTATTTTGAGTTCTTAATAGGTACCAAATCTCTCCACAAAACATTATGAATATAGATCCATTTTTTCGGATATACCCCATATCCCCCCGAATTTGCTGCAATTTGGTGTTTTGTAGTCGTATATGGTAACAAATCTCTCTACCAAAAATTATTAATATTCGCCCCCTTTTTGGGGTAGTCCCCATATAACCCCCTTTTTATATTAAAATAGTTATCTGATTTGTTCCACGTTTTGAGTTCGGTTCTAAGACTCTATTGTAATTATTGCACCTGCGGAGGATAGCGAGATAAAAAATTGGAACGTAAGGTTCGATAATGAACTATAACCGCATTTAGACCTAGCCCCTGTGTGGAGGTTTCTGAAGGAGTGGACCGATATTCCCCAACTTCGAATTTGAATTATCAATTAAAAATTTTTGAAATTTGTATTATGGTTTACATAATCCGTTTTTAGACATGTCGGTATAGGTCCACTTTTTGGTATGTTCCCTTTATTTTAATTTCTAGTACCTGTCAGTATATCTATGGTGGAGAGTATCCAAAATTCGGCCCGGCCGAACTTAACGCTTTTTCACTTGTTATTTAAAAAAACCATGCGGATACTTTTGACTGTGACTCACTGTAGCTCTTAAGTAAGTTTGCCGGTTGATTGTAGATGTTCAGCCCGATCGAATTTTTGTTTTTTTTAATAAACATATTTTTAAAATGCAAAAAATAAAAATTATAATTTTCAATAATAAAAATTACTTGTAATTTGTTTACTTTTTAATTAATTGTTATTATTTTTATTTATCTCTATATTAAAATTAAGATATATTCCTCATGGTTTCTCTAGCCAATTGATACGGCTGACAACTTCAAAGCCCAATTTTTTATGTAAACTTAGTGATGCTTCATTATGTTCGGAGACCATAAAATAGAGATCACTTTGATGAATTTTCACAAGGCGTTTAAGATATGCCTTCATTACCAACTCACTGTAGCCTTTTCGTCTGTCCGAGGGCAGTGTATAACGGAACCTGAAAGAGAGCATGTTACATAAATTAGTTATTAGTATTTTGGTATTAGTAATAATTAAGCTTTTAAAATTCCACAAATCGATCAGATCACTATTTCAATGCATGTGATCTGCCAAAAATTCCAAATTACAGGTAGGCTGGATAAAATTTTCTGGGAAGAAGTTTCAATAAAGTACTCGGGATGCAAATTTACAACCACTCTGGTTTCTCCGGTCTTCTCTAATAAGACCATCTATACCTCTACGATAAAGACTTCAGTTCTTCTATGAGAAGGTCTTCTGGTCCCCGGCATGGACTTCTTAAATACGATTTTCGATTTTTCTATAAAAAGACCGCCTGCAATTCGAACAAGACCAACTGGTATTTTATTCTAGTCCTATATAAATTTTCATTTGAACAGTGCCAACTTCCAAAAATAAATTAAAATTCAAGCTAATTACCCCGGTGCCAAACATTCATTTGCTGTCATCCAAGCAATCGGTTGATCTTCATTACCACGAAATAGTCCAATGCCACCATTAAAGGCAATACACTGATGGATATACGCCAATGACTGATCGTGCTTATACTGCCAATATTCGTTAACAATATTTGCATGTTTTTCCGCATCTAATTCGGCAAGATGTAAATCATCATCGATAGAATCCCTGCAAGAGGCAACAAGAGTTAATTTATATTTCATTTTCTTATCATTAGGTACTTACTCATTTAACTGTAAAGCTTGAATAGTATCCTTACTCGCATATATTAATTTGTCATAGGGTAAATATATCCAATTGTGTGGCACTTTTTGGCAGGCAATCTCATTGACAGTTTGAAACAGTTTCTCATCACATACGACATACATCCGTTTGAGATTCCATTCGATTCGATTGGTTTTTAGCAGGCACTCTTTGAGCTCTTCTTGCGACTCTTGAAGGGTGAAACAGGTTACAATGTAATCCTGTAAGGGATGAAATAGACAGGCTATAGTTAAAAAATAAACATTTGTGGTTCTGACAAAACTTTGACAAAAGCATCGTTATCTTTGCATTGGCTGAAACACCCCACTATAAAGTACGAATTAACAAGTAACAAGTAAAAAAGCGTTAAGTTCGGCCGGGCCGAACTTTGGATACCCTCCACCAAAGATATACTGACAGGTACAGAAATGAAAATATAGGGAACGTACCAAAAAGTGGACCTATACCGACATTTCTAAAAAGGGATTATGTAAACAAAAATAAAAAATTCAGAAATTTTTAATGGATAATTATACTCTCAGATTTATCGCTATCGGTAGGGTGTATACACTTTAACACGGTGAAAATGTGGCTAATCGAAATATTGGTTTTAGACCCCATGTTTCTTTGGACCAAATCCGTTTCAAAAAATTTAGATTTCATCCAAACTTTGTCCATCTTATTATTTCTTCCAATCTTAGTTCAAATTCGAAAATGGGGAATATCGGTCCACTTCTTCTGGAACCTCCATACAGGGGCTAGGTCTAAATGCGGGATATAGTTCATTATCGAACCTTGCGTTCTACTTGTTTATCTCGATATCCTCCACAGGTGAAATGATTACATCAGAGACTTAGAACCAAACTCAAAACGCGGAATGGGGACTACCCCAAAATGGGGGCGAATATTAATAATTTTTGGAAGGGAGATTTGGTACCATATACGACTACAAAATACCAATTTGCAGCAAAATCGGTTGAAAAACGCGCTCAAGAATCCCAAAATACCGAAAATTGGGGGTACCCTTATATGGGGGCTATCCGGAAAAATTGACCTATATTCATAATTTTTTTGTGGAGAGATTTGGGACCTATTAAGAACTCAAAATACTAAATTACAGCTAATTCGGCGGAAAAATACAATCAAAATCCCCAAAATATTGAAAATTAGGAGGTACCGTTATATGGGGGCTACCAGAAAAAGTGGACCTATATATATAATTTTTTGTGGAGACATTTAGTACCCAATAAGAACCCAATGTAGCAAATTTCAGCAAATTCGGTTGAAAAACACGCTCAAGAACCCCAAAATAGCGAGGATTGAGGGGTACCGTTATATGGGGGGTACCAGAAAAAATTGACCTATATTTATAATTTTTAGTAGGGATATTTGGAACCCAATCAGAACTCAAAGTAACAAATTTCAGCGAATTCGGTTAAAAAACGCGCTCAAGAACCTCAAAATACCGAAAATTGGGGGGTACCCTTATATGGGAGCTATGCCTTAACGTGGACCGATATAGCCCATCTTCGAACTTGACCTGCCTGGAGACAAAATACGACTCTATGCTAAATTTTGAGGCTCTATCTCAATTCGTTTAGACGCTAGAGTGATTACAACAGACAGACGGACATGGCTAAATCGTCATAGAATTTTACGCTGATCAAGAATATATATACTTTATGGGGTCGGAAATGATTTCGATGCGTTACAAACGGAAAAACAAAACTAATATACCCTCCATACTATGGTGGAGGGTATAAAAAAGTGTCAGTCGGTGTTGCCGACTATATACCATCAGTCTACAGTTTGAGGAGGTCTTCGTTGCTTCAGTTTAATACAATTTACAAGTTTGTAAAATACTGACCGTTTCTAGGAGAGAACTTAATGTAGGCTTTGTAAAGGTAATAGAAACTGGAAATTTTGGTTCAAATCGGACATTACTTTCGCGGATAGTTCGATTATTATTATTATTATTATTTTTTTTTTTTTGCACAATTTTAACCACTTTAAGGGGGAGGTGCTAGAAAGAGTGGGCCATGATCGGACTTCATCTTGGCTTGGTAAAGATAATACGAGTAGGTTGTGTAAGGTTTAGTTCAAATCGAACATTCGCCTGAAATTGAATTAACAATTATTGAAACATTTTATTTCATTTGTGGGGGAGGTACCAGAAGGAGTGGTACCTTGAAGTCCCCGCTCTGGTAGAACTTAGACTTTGAAGATATATTGTATAAAAAATCTCCGCTCTGGTGGGCCTTATAAACCACTGATAAACAATTCTTAAAAATTTGCACTTCAAAAAAAAAATAATAATAATCTTGTCAAAATATGTTTTTGTGGCTCTGTTCGTCCTTGAAAAGTTTTTTTCGGATTCCGATGTTCCAGTGAGGAGTTATCATGCCCGCCATCAAAAATAAGGACTTTTCTTTTAAAAACTCTAAGCATGGGGATCTAACAGTCATTGAGAAAATATTCTTTAAAAATAAACACTTTTGACTTTGAGTGTCCCTAAAAAATATTCATTACAAAATGAAAATTGTGGTTCTGGTAATCCTCAAAAATGTTCTTTAAAAAATCTCTTAAAAATTCCTTCTACCGACATTGGCAATCTTAAAATCATATTATTCTTACCTTATGGCCCGTCAAAGAAATTAAAGTACAATTATCCTGGTTACCACTACGATGTGTATAGAACCGTAGATTCCAACCCTCGGATATTAGCGATTCACGGTTATCACAGATTTTGTCAAAATGATAAAGAAAACTGGAGATGCAACTATATTGTTGTATGCTAGAAGGCAAAAGGGGCCTGAGCACATCCAACATTGCCCGGAGTTGGTTTTGAGAACATTCCACTAGGATATCAGACATAATGGTTACCGGAAAAGTTAATTAAAACGATTATTTATGAATCCAATGTTGAAAAAATATATTTTTTTAAATATTTTCAATTATGTTCTTCGATATCGTTTGCGAACTACACTTAACCGAATTCTAAACTAAACTGATGTTATTTTCGAATCGATAGACAAAATTAGAGACCTAATGAATCTAAACGATGAAACGAAAGATATGACCTTGTATTTTTTAAATTAGAAATATTTGCCTGTACAACCAAAAACATATTTTTGAATTTGTACCGTTACCTGACTGTGCAATTATATCTACAAATAATCCTCGGTGTATGTGAGCGCAGGTACCTGTAATTGCATTAAGTTGAAAAAAGGACAATTAGTGCCACTAACCTAGTCCTTGAAAAAATATTCTTTAAAAAATCCAACCATTTATTTTATAGTTAGAGTTTTTTCATCCTTATTTTTGATTTTTCTCACCTTATGGCCAGTTATAGAAATCAAAGTACAATTAATCGGGTCACCACTTCGATGTGTATAGAAACGTATATTCCAAGCATCGGATATTAACGAGTCACGATTATCACAAATTTTGTCATAATGATATAGATAACTGTAGATGCAACTATACTGTTGTATGCTGGAAGGCAAAAGAGGTCTGAGCACATCCAACATTGCCTGGAGTTGGTTTTGAGAACATTCCGCAAGAATATCAAACATATTGGTTATCGGAAACGTTTTTAATTAACGATTATTTATGAACAAATTTTTGGATGTGTTTTCAAATCACTCTCGATCTATACACCACCGAAATCTAAACTAAACTATGTTGATTTTCGAATGGCCACAAACATTTTGGAGAAATTTCCAATTTAACTGATAAAATCCGAAAATATCAAACAACAAATGTTTAAAGAAATAATCTTGAGGTTTGTTTGTAAACATATACGATGAATTTTTAGTGTCGATCATGTTTGATAGTAAAACAATATAATCGGTGTTTAGAAGAGAGATAAGCCTATTGTAGTTATGAATCAAAAAATCTAATATCACAAATTAATATGTATGTCGAATGGAATCACGATAAGAAGTACAGATTTTGATAATATGTGTGTTCTGTAAAAACTCAATTGCTTCAGTCATTAGGAGAATTTTAAGTTTTTTTATAGAAAAAATCAATATATCAATATATCAATTCTCTGTTCTGAGGATTTTTGTCTATAGAAAATAAAATCAATAAATAGTATATCTGTGTTTTCACTGAAAAAAAAATCAATCCTCAATTCTGATGAATATTTCCTATAAAGAAAAATTAATCCTAACTTCTAAGGGATTTTTCATAGAAAAGTCAATGCTTAGTTTGAAGAATTTTCTGAGCATTTTCAAACCTCAGTTTTGAAAAGAAAGAAAAAAAAAATCATTCCTCAGTTCTGAGGCATTTATTTTCTATAGAAAACCAGTAAGGAAAGTGGTAAAGTCGGACGGGACGACTATATGATACCCTTCACCACTTTGGGTAAATTCAACAGATGAATCTTAACAGACGTCGCATTTTTGATTTTCACGAAACTTAACACACATCATTCTAGACTTTATTCAGTACGCTGTACCAAATTTCGTGGAAATCGAAAGGTATACAGAGACTTTGGTACACAATTTTCCTTAAATCGGACGAAAATATATATGGGAGTTATATCTAAATCTGAACCGATTTTCACGAAACTTAGCACACATCATTCTAGTCTAATTAATCGTGCAAATCGAAAGATATTTAGGGACATTGGTGCACCATTTACCTTAAATCGGACGAAAATTTATATGGGAGCTATATATAAATCGGAACCGATTTTTATGAAACTTAGCATACACCATTCTAGGCCTAATTAAGTACGCTGTGCCAAATTTCGTGCAAATCGAAAGATATATAGAGACTTTGGTGCACCATTTACCTTAAATCGGACGAAAATATATATGGGAGCTATATCTAAATCTGAACCGATTTTTCCCAATTTCAATAGGGTTCGTCCTTGGGCCAAATAAGTGAGGTATGCCAAATTTCATCCAATTCGGATAATAAATGCGACCTGTACTTTGTTAACAATTTAACATGGACAGACAGACGGATGGACGGACGGACATGCATAAATCGACTTAAAAAGTGATTATATGCATATTCTCAAAAGGAACCATGGGTCTATCTTGATTCCTTTTGCCTGTTACAAACATATGCACAAAGACATAATACCCTGTACCACAGTGTGGTGAAGGGTATAAACAACCAAATTACAAAGAATTTGGTATGAAAAACGCGCTCAAGAACCCCAAAATACCGAAAATTGGGGGTAACTCTTATATGGGGGTTACCCGAATAAATTGACCTATATTTATAATTTATAGTGGAGAGATTTGCTACCTAATAAGAACTCGACGTACTTACAGTCAATTCGGTCGAAAAATACGATCAGAATCCCCAAAATACCAAAAATTTGGGGGTACCGTTATATGGGGACTACCAGAAAAACTGGACTTATATTTATAAATTTTTGGAGTAATTTGGTACCCAATAAGAACCCAATGTAAAAAATTTCAGAGAATTCAGTTATAAAACAAGCTCAAGAACCCCAAAATACCGAAAATTGTGGGTACCCTTATATGGGGACTATCCGAAAAAATTGACCTATATTTATAATTTTTAGTAGGGAAATTTGCTACCCAATAAGAACACAAAGTACCAAATTACAGCGAATTCGGTCCAAAAATGCGATCAAAACCCCCAAAATACCGAAAACTTGGGCTACCCTTATATGGGGACTATCCGAAAAAATGGACCTATATTTATAATTTTTAGTAGGGAGATTTGCTACGCAATAAGAACTCAAAATACCAAAATTCAGCGAATTCAGTTAAAAAACGTGCTAAATAACCTCAAAATACCGAAAATTAGGGGGTACCCTTATATGGGAGCTATGCCTAAACGTGGACCGATTTTCTCCAATTTCTATAGGGTTCGTCCTTGGGCCAATTAAGTGACCTGTGCCAAATTTCATCCAAATCGGATCATAAATGCGACCTGTACTTTGTTAACAAAAATACATGGACGGACGGACGGACAGACGGACATGCATAAATCGACTCAGAAAGTGATTCTATGCATATTCTCAAAAGCAACCATGGGTCTATCTCGATTACTTTTGCCTGTTACAAACATATGCACAAAGTCATAATACCACAGTGTGGTGAAGGGTATAAAAATCAATCCTCAGGCAATCTTCAGATCTAAGGAAATGCTAAGGATTTTTTCTATGAGGAAAACTCAATCCTTACATCTGAGGATTTTTTTTTTCAACTGAAATTGAAAAAAATATATCCCCATTTCTGAATTATTTTTTTTCTATTGGAAAATAAATCCTCAGTACTATTGAATTTTTTCATAGAAAAACATATAGTTTTCTGATCTGAGAATTTTTTTCTATAGAAAAAATCCATCCATCATATAAATCCTCAGTTTTGAGGATTTTTTTTTTTTTTTTTTAGAGATAGTTCTTTTTGGCAGTTTGTAGGGAGTGGGCAATCCTCAGTTCTGAGGATTTTTTCTATAGAAAAATATCAATCATCATATCTAATTTCTTTGTCTGTAAAAAAAAATCAGAACTAAGGAATTTTTCTCTATAAAAATTTAGCCTCAGAACTTAGGATTGTTTTCTATAAAAAGAATAAATCCTCAAATCTGAGTAATTTTTCCTATGGGAAAAAATCTATTCTTAATTCTGAGGAATTTGTTCCATAAAAGAAAATCAATCCTGAGATCAATGTATTTTTTCTATAGAAAAAAAATCTATTCTTACTTCTGAGGAATTTGTTCTATAGAAAAAACAATCCTCAGATGTGAATATTTTTTTTCTGTAGAACAACATAAATCCTCAGATCTAAGGAATTCTTTGTCTATACAACATATCTTCAGAACAAAGGAAGTGTTTTCTAAAAAAAATAATCCTCAGAACTGATTTTTTTCTATATAAAGAATCAATCCTCAGATCTGAGTAATTGTTTTCTATAGTAAAAAACTCAATGTTCAGATTTGAATAATTTTCCTATGGAAAAAGTCAGTTCTTAGTTCTGAGTAATTTTTTCTATAGAAAAAAATCAATCCTGAGATCTTAGTATTTTTTCTATAGGAAAAAATCTATACTTAGTTCTGAGGAATTTGTTCTATAGAAAAAATAACAATTATCATATCTTAGTATTTTTTATAGAGCAAAATCAAACCTCAGATCTAGGGAATTCTTTGTCTATACATAAAATCTTCGGAACTAAGGAGGTTTATCCTCAGAACTGAGGATTTTTTCTCTAAAAAGAAGAAAAACATCAATCCTCAGATCTGGGTAATTTTTATGGAAAAAAATCAATCCTCAGTTCCGAAAAATTATTTTCAATAGCAAAAATCAATCCTCAGTTCTTAGGATTTTTTCTATAGAAAAACCAACCGTAATCTGTGAGGAATTTTTTCAAGAAAAATATGAATCTTCAAGACTTAAGACTGAAGAAAAAAATGAATTCTATGTTCTGAGGATTTTTTTCTATATAAAAAATTAGTTCTTAAGAGGATTTTTTTCTATAGAAAAAAAAATAATCCATTCTTCTGAAAATTTGTTTCTATAGAAACAAATCAATAGTCAGGACTAAGGATTTTTTTTCTGTTGAAAAATATCAATCCTCAGTTGTGAGGATTTCTTTTCTCATTTTTATTATAGAACAAAACCATTCCTCAGTTCTGCAGATTTTTACTACTGAACAAAATCAATCGTAAGTTTTGAGGAGTTTTTTGTTTCTATATAAAAACATCAATTATCAGTTATAAGGATTTTTTTCTATAGGAAAAAGATCAATCTCCAGTTCTGGGGTATTTTTCTAAAGAAAAAAATATGTTCTTAAGGTTTTTTCTATAGAGGATTTTTTCTACAGAAAAACATAAATTTTCAATTTATTATCGATTCATTTTTAAGCGATATTTCTGTTCTGAAGATTTTTTTATAGGAAAACATAAATTTTCAGTTAATTTATGATTAATTTTTATGCGATATTTACGTAATCCGAATCTAACTAAAACAACAATTAGTTTCAAGTGTTTTTTTATTATATCTTTATTTTTTTAATATTTATTTAGGAATTTCTGTTGTGATTACTGATTTCATATTTTATCATATTTCATATTTGTGATTACTGATTTCATATTTTCCAAAAATGTTTACATAAATATATTATTTAGTTTTAACAAATTCATTTCCAACCGTTGACCTTTTAACAATACTATTTATATCAGTGTGTGTGTGTGGCTGTGAATATTAATTTAAATGTGATTCAAAAATTCCTGTTTCCTGTTGTCTCAAACAACAATAAAAAAGGAAGACACTTGAGGTGCTAATTATTTATTAGGGTGCTGGAACAGCTATTTAGAATTATTTTGATGTTATTACAATATTAATATACCATTAATTAATTTATCGTATGTTTTTATTGTCTTATTACTAGAAAAAAAAATTGTAGATAAAACCAAAAAGAAAATACTAACTATAATTATAGACCTGCTAAGGATATTTACATTTGTGTTTTGTTTTTGTCAATATTGAAAGCTTGGCTTTATTTTATTTATATTAAATATTGCTTAATTTTTTTGTTAATTGTAAATAAATTCTTTGAATAATTGTCTTATTTAAAAAAAAGTGGAATAGAAATTCAGTTATAGATTTTTGTTTTCAAATTTAAATATTTGCCTTGTTAAGAAGTGCAGTTTGCGAGTGTTGTCTTGTGACTTAAATTACAAACAAACAAAAAAATACATTTTTATATATATAGAATCATTTGTGTTAAAAAAAATATTATTTTTATAACTTAATTAATTTATGACAATCTATTTTCAATAATAAATACTATGATTTTCCAACGTCCTTTTCGTTTATGGTTGTAGAATGTTGCGATAGGACAAGGTGTCCATTAAAAATTCTATTTTACTCCCTCTACAGTTGACTTTTGTTTCTTATAAGCGTCGTTTAACAGGTGCGTGTTTCAAATTACATTTTTCCCATTAATTTCCATTCGAACTCAGTGTGGTTTGTGGTGTCACATCACGTGTACAGGTTGGCAAGATATAGCTTTTTGTTGTCGCCTTGTTTGCGAATAAATCCGAAATGAAATTGGTCTGAAATTAAAACATTAATTAAAACAAAATTTTCAACATTTATATAGTTTAACATAAATTTCTAGCAGTATTTGTAAGAAATACGAACATTATTCTTAGCGCCTAGAAGTATGCTTTAGAAAATAAGTCATATCAAGTAATACACATTCTAATTAGAAAACTGTAGTAAAAGGCATTGCCATTGAAAAGGGAAGAAGTACAAGGAGTCTTGTCTTGGATAATAATATAACCTAGTTTGATAATATTAGCCCTAGGGTTGCCAAGCCTTGTGGAATAATATCTTGTGGTATTTCCAAATGTACAACATAATAACTGAAGAACGTCACTTTTCTAAACAAGAAAATTATTTTTTACCGAAGGTCAGTTAAAAAATTTTCTCTCCATTATTTTTGATCGAAGTTGACCGGCATGTTAGCAGTCGTAACATCGTCCAGTAGCTAAAAATCGACCATAAAAAGCTGGATTCAAAAATAAGCTCGATGTTTGGGTGCCACACCAATTAACAGCAAAAATAGGTTGGATCGAATTTCCATCTGCGAAGTCTTGGCCAAACGGAAAGAGATAGACACATTTCTTAAACGGATGGGGAATGGAGATGAGAAATGGATCACATACGATATCCCTGTGCGACCAGCCAGTTATCTCTAAAATGGCAACAAATCATACAACAAAACGGTGCAAATCGGACGTTCCGAAGCATGTTAAATAAAGTCCTATAGTTTATATGTATACAAAATTGATTTCTTTTTCCCCAACCTAATATATGGGATCTATATCTTAATCTTAACCGATTTCCTCCATTAGGCTAAATAAATGAGCTGTGAGCAAAGTACAGGTCGCATTTATTATCCGAATTGGATGAAATTTGGCACAGCTCATCTATTTGGCCCAGAGACGAACCCTATTGAAATTGGGAAAAAATCGGGTCCAATTTGGATATAGCTCCCAAATATATTTTCGTCCGATTTAATGTAAATGGTGCACCAAAGTCCCAAAATATTCCTAGATTTGCACAAAATTTGGGACAGCGTAATGAATTAGGTCTAAAATGATGTGTGTTAAGTTTCCTGAAAATGGGTTCCTTTGTATTCTTCTTCCCATGAAAGAGCTGTAGTTATTATTCTTCCTACACGAGAGCTGCAGGCATTCCTCTTTCTGCGGAAGAGCTGCAGGAGTCTTCTTCTTGTGGAAGAGCTGCAGGAATTCCTCTTGCTGTGAAAGAGCTGCAGGTATTCTTCTTCCTGTGAAAGAGCCACAGATATTCCCCTTTCTATGGAAGAGTTGCAGGTTTTATTCTTCCTTTGAATGAGCTGCAGGAATCCCTCTTCCTGTTGGTATTCTTCGTCCTTTGATAGAGCTGCAGATATTCTGCATCCCTAGAAAGATCTGGAGGAATTCTTCTTCCTGTGGAAGAGCTGCAGATATTCCTCTCCGTATGGAAGAGCTGCTGGTCTTTTTCTTCCTGTGGGAGAGTTGCTGGTATTCTTCTCCCTAAAGGAAGACCTGAAGGTATTCTTCTTCCTGTACGAGAGCTGCAGTCATTCCTCTTCCTGTGGTAGACCTGAAGGTGTCTTTTTCCTGTGAAGGAGCTGCAGGTATTATATTTTCGTCCGATTTATGGTAAATGGTGCACCAACGTACCAATATATCAGATTTAGATATATAGTTCCCATATATATTTTCCTTCGATTTTAGGTAAATAGTGCACCAAAGTCCCTTCATATCCTTCGATTTGCACGAAATTTGGCATAGCGTACTGAATTTAGTCTAGTACGATGTTTGTTACATTTCGTGGAAATCGGATCAGATTTAGATATAGATCCCATATATATTTTCATCCGATTTAAGGTAAATAGTACATCAAAGCCCCTTTATATCCTTCGATTTACACGAAATTTGGCATAACGTACTGAATTGATCCATATATATTTTCATATATATTTTCCGATTTTAGGTAAATAGTGCAACAAAGTCCCTTTATATCCTTCGATTTACACGAAATTTGGCATAGCGAACTGAATTATCTCTACAACAATGTGTGTTTAGTTTCGCGAAAATCGATTATATATATATATATATATATCCATCGACTTGTACGAAATTTGGCATAGAATGATGTGTGGTTTGTTTCGGGAAAATCGGTTCAGATTTCGATAGAGCTCCCTTATATTTATATGTATTCGTTCGATTTTTCATAAATGGTGCAACAAACTCTTAATTTTTGTCCGATAAACACGAAATTATGCACAACGTATCAAATTGGAACTTGAATGACGTTATTGCGTTTTGTTGAAATTGGTGCAGATGCAGCAAAAGGTTTCATTTAATTTGTAAAAGTTTTCATTTAATCTGGAAATGCTATAAATGCCAAATCAAATAAGTTTTGTTACAAACAACAATACGAATGTTTAACATTTAAGAAGAATAAAAGTAAACGAGGCTAGACTTAACGAAAATGACAAAGAAATGAATCTCTGCTTCATAGAAAACTGGTCACCACCACCAAACACACTGCAAAGTTGATTGTTCACTCTATATTACAAGAACCCAGCATTTTATGTTTTATGAACTGGATTCATAATATGCAGAAATCCGACATTGTCAACACTTTCTGAATACTATTCATATAATATACGAATTATTTTTCCTGGGTATTCTATTCAGGATACACCAATAGAAAGTCTTATTTTATAAATAGTCCCGTCGTAAGACTGTAGAATAAGTTTTTCTATTATGCAGAATACATATTAAACGTTTTGTAGACATAGAATGTCGGTTTTAGATCTTCTACCAATTGCAAAGCTTCTAAATATTTTCTCCTTTCAAACTGTGCTATAAAATTTACTCAGTTATGTTGTATTCACCCAATCGTTGTCGATTGCCTGTCGATGGTGGCGACAATAAGCAATCATTCATATTCATTTGCAAACGTAAAGAAAAAAAACCCATTTGATTTTAATTTTTTTTCCTCGGACTCCATGTGCTACCAGAGATTTGCCGATATTTATCTATTTATCGTTGATCGCTGGCTATTAGATTTGATATTCAAGCTGCTGTTTTGGTGTTTGTTTCTTTTGTTTGTTTATCTATATCTTTTACGGATTGTTTTCTTTTTATTTCTTTGCAAAGTAGTGGAGAAATCTGTGTAATGCAATTTGATTGAATTGAAGTGAATTTCCTTGGCAACATTGTTGCCAATGGACGATGACAATCACTTTTTTCCAATTCAATTAATTTGATTTACAAGTCAATGGAAATTGTGCGGCGCCGTCGGTGATCGAAAGTGAATGAGAGTAAAAAATGGGAAATATGTGCATGTGGAGCATAAGGAAAAATGAAAATGTGACATAATTTGTTAATATTTGATAAGGTCATGTTGGACGCCACTGTCTATATTGATGATTTTGGATTTTCGATGAGATTTTATAGGAAAAGGTACAAAGATACCTATATTAGGCTAAAGAGTTTATTACCCAAAAATTATCTCCGTTACTAGGAATGAATGAATATGGTGCATTCCATGTAGTTATTTAAAAATGTCATGCCAAAACCCTTCATATAACTCCAAAACGGAAAGGGTATAAATTATTATCAGTTCCACGAACAGCCGCAAAGCCAATGAACAAAAAGAGACCTAATTCGCAATTAAGTACAGATGTTACATTTTGAATCGATAGTATATTTTTGTATGGAACGCTGACATGTTTAAGATTTTGAAATAAAAAATCTACTAGATACCAAAGGTTATGTCATTTTTCCGATTATCGTAACAAACAAATAAACTCTGGCCCATTTATGCTGAACTTCCCCCTGAGTTCTGTTATGATGGAACATTGTAATTAGTATAATTAGAATATAAATTGTTAATATGATTATACGAAATACATTATTTATTGAAGGCACGGGAACGACCTTTGTTACAAATACAATACTTGGTCATATAGTTTGTATTCATATTGTAATACATCGCTAAAAATTAATAGTTTTTTTTTTGGGAATATAGCTAAAAATATTATAAAATGTTAGCTCCAGCTCTTTTGACTATTTAATATGAGTCGCTTAAAAACCCTATTTTTGGCTGCCAATACCTGCAACTCTGGCTGATAAGCGCATTTAAAATGTTCCAAAATCCTCCTGTTAAGGTTTGTAACTTTGCAGATATATACATGAAGATTTAAAAGAGAAGAAAAATAATTTACAAAAAAATTCAACATAAATGGTTATTGTTTTTTTTTTGTTGTTTTTTGTAATTAAAGAAAAGTCCTTATTTTTGATGGCGGGCATGATAACTCCTCACTGGAACATCGGAATCCGAAAATTCCAACGGTGTTAGAAAGAATACATGTCTGGCTCTCGTACGAACTAGGATTATTGACTTCGCTTTAAAATTAACAAAATGGCGGACCTTTGAAAAAAATATTTTTGGAAAATCGCCGATTTTTGACCAAAAACCAAGTTAAAAAATAAGGAAGATCTTCACCGATTGGCTTTATCCTAGTTCATACTAGAGCTATATCGTGCCCGCCATTCGCAAAAAAATGTTTGGAGAAAAACGCGTTTAAAGTTTGAGAAGCCCTTTAGCCGTCACTTGATGCTGACACAATAAATCGGCTATATCTTCAAGAGTTCTTGAGATTTTCACTTGAAATTTTGAAGAGACATTCTTTAATCAGTGTAGATTCGAATTATATCAACAAAAATGTTGACCCCGAGAATGGGGGGGGGTCCCCTTAAATGGGGGGCTACCCTAAAAACTAAAACCAATATTAATAATTTTTGGCAGCGGGATTTGAAAGCCTTTTAGTATAAAAGTATCAAAGTATAACCAATTTGGTTGACAAAGGACACAAAAGTCCTTAAAATACCGAAAATAGATCTGGTGCAGTGATTTCCACCACAGTGGGGTGATGTGAAGAATAAAACTTGTCGCCCAAGAATACTCTGACGATATTGCTGCTGTAATTTTATGTGTCGATGTCCAGACCTCTCTACTATAAACCGTTTTTATACCCTACACAACTATGTTGTCAGGGTATTATAGCTTTTTGCAGCCCCAAAAGTTTGTAACGCCGCGAAATATTGGTGCTAGACAGGAGGAGTGGTTGACCTTTAAATTGATACCAATTATATTGTCGTATGTACTCGGATGTTGGAGATACACTTAAATATTCACAAAATCCATTTCAGACAATTTGAAATCGATAACTCTCAAAAGCAGTAACCGATTTTATCCAAACTTTGCATATCGGAATATTTCTTCCACACATAATCCAAATTCGATGATGGGAAATATTGGTGCACTCCTTCGGGTACCTCCCCACATAAGGGGCATGTAAAGGGAATATCCGATTTGAACCAAACTTTGAAAAACCTATTATTTTTACCAAACAGAGATCAAGTATGAAAAATGGGACCCATTGGTCCATTCCTTCTGGTACCACCCTCAAAGGTCAAAATTTGGTCAACATTTTTAATATTTACAAATCCAGGAGAATGGAATGTCCGATTTGAAAAAAAAAAAAAATTTGCACAACCTATTATCTTTACCAAGCCTGGATCAAGTCCGATGGTGGAATTCCTCGGCCCTCTCCTTCTGGTACCTTCCCCATAAAGGGTGAATATTTCATAAACTTGTGAATTTAATTTGAATCGAATTGAATAACCGTTTTAATCAATATCAAATCGAAAACTTCTTTGATAATAATATATTGCTTATATAAAGCTAATAATGAAACCTGTGTGTAAATTTGAAAACATCCGCTATTCAAAGGCTAAGGGTATGTATCTGTCGGCAATACCGACTGTCACTTGTTTACTTGTTTTTAGAAGACTATTCATCTGGACAACTTTTGCGTTTAACAAGGTGAGATACACAAACATTCGTTTTTGTACGGTATCTCGTGACTTAACGTCTCGTGCTTTCTCCCATTGGGGTCTCATGAATACGCCAAACAGCCCAAAGTCAATTCAATACCTCAAAGACTATAAAAGAAATGGTCATGTGAGCGTGCTCGTGATGGTCACTTGAAAAGCAATCTGGACTAACTCATAATAGACATAATTCGGAAGTATACACAAAATGTTGTGCAATTCGGATACGGGTGTGGTCTTTGAAATCTAGTGGAAAACAAATATATGGCAATTATACCTGAATTTGAACAGAAGTCAACACCTTTTATTCTAGTATAAAAATATATATAAAATTTGATTTCAATTGGACATAAGTATATAAAGACCTCCTCTGCGACTCCCTATAGAGCTCCCTTCATTTCTCAGCTCGTACATAAGGACTCTCTGCTTTCAGCTTGTCCATAAATACCACATGTCTTCAGCCCATCCATTAAGACGCTTTGCCTTTAGCTAGCCCACTAAACACTGGACAAAATTATCGAACAAATCCCACATAGTGTACCATTTGAATAAAATCGAACGAAAGTATATATGAGAGCGATATGTAAAACTGAAACGATTCTCATCTATTTCGAGATAAAAGCCATAAAAAATCGTCACTCACGCGACTTCAAATATACCAGACTTTAGTTTAGCATTTGGCGGAAATGCCCATATGCATAAATCGATTCAGAAAGAGATTATTAGTATATCCTCAAAAGAAGCTACGTGTTACATACAACTTCATAAAAATAAACTAATATATATGGCAATATTGCCAATTTTTTAACATAGATGAAGCGGAGGTTCACCCTTTATAACTCGGGAATTACTTAAGTATATGAAAACCAGTAAGGAAAGCAGCACAGTCGGACTGGCCCGACTATGTGATACCCTTCACCACTTTGGGGATATTCTACATATGCATTTTTAAAAGATGTCGTATTTTCGAAGGAACATTGACATGAAATTGAACGAACCGACTAACTTCAATCCATACACATGCCATTCTGCAATCTATTACATACTTTGTAAATAGATTTTAAGCAAACTTTTCGCACGCTATTTAAAATGTAATATCAATCCGTCACCCATTGATTATTGTGTTCAACATGAATAGTTCGAAATTATATATGGAAGTTATGCTATATCTAAATCTGAACCGATTTCTAGGAAAAACACAAAAAATTAATTTTAGTACGTTTTGCCATCGGCCTAGCTTATTATCTGATCATCACCAAAAATATATAGGCGTTATGTCCTTGACCAAAATTGACATAGGAAAGGTTATAGTAACTTCTCATGGAAAATTGTGTGCAAAGCGATCGCTATATTTTTGCCCTCTATCTGTGGTAGTGGGTTATCATTCTGGACCCAATTCATATATCAGTACGTAAGCCAAATTGTAAGTGTAAATCCAACATCCGTGACTTTGGTACCATACGACAATATATATTGGTATCTATTTCAAGGTCAACCACTCCTCTTGGATATACTTGATCTAATTCAGTACTAATGCCAAATTTCGTGCAAATAAATATATAAGCTTTGGTGCCCCATTTTTTTCAGACAAAAGTATATATGAACCGCTAAATATTAACCGATCTTTATGAGAACAGGCATGCTTATTATTTGGCTCAATCTCCTTCTCCATGTAAAATTTCGCGATATTCGGACCATAATTGCGGCCTCTGGAGCGACCAGAAAAATCGACAAAAATTTAGTATTTGGTCCATTTCATCCCATAAATATTAACAGGGACTGATCTTTACCAAAAACAATATATGGGTCTATATCGTTGGCCAGTTTTATAATAAGACTGTCCTACATGCAAAATTTCAAGAAGATTGGTCCATAACTGTGGCCTGTATCGTGTTTACAAATTATAATGGACAGACGGACGGACGGACACACATGTCTAGATCAAATTAGCTAGTCGAGATATGACGATCGGTATACTTAAAGGTGGGTCCAGGACCAATATTTCGCGGCGTTACAAACTTTTGGGGCTGCACAAAGCTATAATACCCTGACAACATAGTTGTGTAGGGTATAAAAAGTGAATAGTTCGTTGATCTGTCGTTGCAAACTGTTCATGATATTGACCTCCAAATTTTATTTATTTAATTAAGTTAATGTAAAAAAATGTGTAAAAACAGATTGAGGCGAACCAGTATTTTTATGTTCTCTATCGATTTGTGATTACGACACTCTTTTCACTGTCTTTGTGTCAAATTAAAACTAGAAGGCAATAAAATGGGGTCTACGCCCCTTAAGTATAATTTTTCGAAATTTTAACTGCATCTACCTTTAAATGATGCTGACATTTTGAAGCTCGATTTCGAGTGTTTTTTTTAAATTTTACCTCTAGCTTTAATACGCAAACAGGAATTTCTAAAAATCGATAATAAGATTATTGTAGTCGCGAATCTGAGTAATTTGATATATATTTTGTGTATGTAGTATGCACAGGTTCAGAGTAATACTCATCCGAAGTTGGAAATTTTGTGCGATCAAATTTCTAAAAAACCTATTTTTCTGGCAACATTTTTAGATCTGTCAACTGAATGATATGGGTACCCGCGATCAGTAAGGTTTTTTTTATGATATGATATAAAATCATCTTCGTGAAAATCCATCTACTAGAACGGCGGGAACTGGCCTTCCAAAAACACGAAATTTGACAAAAAATGTTGTTCAAAATATCTCGGATTTAATTGCATTTTCTGTAGATCATTTCCGCTTCAATAAATGACCTGATACGGATTTTGATCTTTTTCGAAAACAGAACTTAAGAAACTTCAGCCGAAAGAGAGATGTACCCAATTAATCTCCTTGGCTCTAAATGGCCCGTATTGAAATCGGTATAAATCGATGTATTTTTGCACACAAAAATCGGATGCGCTTTAATGGCATATGGAGTTTTTGTTTATTCGCGTTTTACTAGTTTTTGGGTACTTCAATGCAACGTGTGGTACATCTTAGCCGTCAAATGAAATTTCGCAAAATATATATGGATTGGAAGATACTTTCTGGAAACCGCATGCGCATCAAATTTGAAAATTACGCGATTTAGACGTAATTCAAAATGTATATTTCATAATATAGTTTTATTTTAAGATTTATTCCTACTTATAGAACCCCAAGATTTGTCGGAAGGGTCTTGCTATAATCCTCAAGGTGTATATTTATACAAAAAAGTGATTATATTTATATATGTCAATTTTTCGGCGGAATTCGGGTAAAATAGAAGAAACCCCAAAATTTTTAACTGAAATTTCTTGTCTTATGCCCTAAAATAAACACTTAAAATTTGCAATGATTTTTAAAAAAACTTTATTTAATTAAGTGTCTTTTTTGGGAAAAGAATATATAAATATTTATTCCCTCATTTCTTTTTAGGGTGAACAGTGGGCCAAACGGTGTTCCAATTAAACCAATTTTCCGGCACCAAGAAAGTCTAAAAAATTAAGGGATGAATAATATGATGAGATCAAAAACAGAATTGGCAAACGAAAATGTTGTAACTAAGAAGCATATTTTTAGTACAGTGGACTTAAAAACAAAACATCGAACCTCAAACTAAAGTCAACACAAGTCATGGCTATAAAAGACCAGGTTAACTTAGATCAGAAAGAGGTCATAAATATAAAAACGAATGGTGCAAGAAGGTTACTAAGAAAAAATCGGCATGCATTTAAACTTAAAATTCATTTAAAGCTAAGAAAATAAACAAAAAAATTGAAAATAAAATCACAACTTACCACCACAATGGCTGTAATAGCTCCAACCAATGAACCACCCAAAACATCAGACCAGTGATGTTTGTAATCGGAAACACGACTCAAAGCCGTGTACCAGGCCAACATAATACCCACAAATTGTAAGAAGTGGCGAATCAATTTCGAGCCACGCCATGTCATGCGACATTGTAAATAGATCTGAAAATACAAAATTTGCAAATATTTCAATATTTTGAATCAGAATTAAGATTGCATGTTGCTGAACTTACCGCCAAATAAACCATGCCATAGAATGTAAAACTCGAATGTCCACTGGGAAAGGAAAGTGAAACTTCTTTTAACATGCGTTCGGTGGAACCAACTCCGGCACAACGGAAGTCTGTTATATATCTACCCTGATTTATGGGATCGGCACATGTTGTTCCATCGGGCATTATTGGTTGGCAGACCTGCAAGAGGGGAACAAAATACAAGGGAAATATTTAGTAAGAAAAAATCAAATAAGAATTTTCTAAGGCATATGATTAGAAGGAAGACGAAGTAAATAACTTAGGACAGCACTTAGCGATGAATGGACGAAAATTTATACAGACAAGTTCTGAAGACGTAAGTTTTCTATAAGCTTTATAGACGACCTCTGCTCGTACAGAGGAGATGAAGGCAGTGAGTATTTTCAGACGAACTGAAAAAGAGTCTCTATAAGAGCTAAAGGGAGTTTTTTAGACAAGGAGTCTCTATAGTCGAGACCTGGAGCGAGTTTCTATAGAAGATATGAAGGCAGGGAGTATTTTGTAGCTCTAACAAAGAGGAAAACAGAACTTGAGCCCACCTTTATAAACCAGCCGAAGAAGGTGGTCTTTATTGACAAAAGGAAGAAATTAGTCTTTATAGTCGAGGGGGAAGGAACCTTTATAAATGAGCAGGGGTCTTACGAAGTTAAGCTGAAGGGCGTTTCAACAGACGAGCTGTAGAGTGTCTCTACAGAGGAACTGAAGGGCGTCTCTACAGACGAGCTGAAGGGCGTCTCTACAGACGAGCTGTAGGGCGTCTTTACAGGCGAGCTGAAGCTCGTTTTTATAGACGAGCAGTATTAATAGACGAACTGAAGGCTTGGAGTCTTTATGAACGAGCAAGTGAGCCCTTTTTGGACGAGCGGAAGTAGGTCTTTTTTGACAAGCAGAGGACATACAAGCTGAAGGGCGTCTCTAAAAAGGAGCTGAAGTTCGTATCTACAAAGGAGCAGAATCACGTCTTTACAAACGAGTTGAAGGGCGTCCCTACAGACTTGCAGAAGGGCGTCTCTATAGAACTGAGCTGAAGGGAGTATCTATATACAAGCTGAGGGGAGTTTCTATAGACCAGCTAAAGGGAGTCTTTATATAAAAACTGAAATGAGCCTCTATAGACGAACTGAAGACAGTCTTTATAGACGAACTGAAGGAAGTATTTATAGATGAATTGAAGGGAGTCTTTATAGACTAACTGAAGGCTTGGAGTCTTTGTGGACGAGCTGAAGTGAGCCCTTTTTGACGAGCGGAAGTGGGTCTTCATTGACAAGCAAAGGGCGTTTCTACATACAAGCTGAGGGGCGTCTCTACAAAGGAGCTGAAGTTCGTATCAACAAAAGATCTGAAGGACGCCTTTACATACGAGCTGAAAGGCGTCTCTACAGATGAGTAGAAGGGCGTGCCTACAGGCGTGCTGAAGGTCGACTCTACAAAGGAACTGAAAGGCGTCTCTACAGACAAGCTTAAGGGGATCTTTATGGACTAGCTGAGACGAGGAATCTCTATAGACGTGCTAAAGAAGGGCGTCTGAATAAACGAGAATAGGGCAGGGAGCTTTTATGAACGAGCTGAAGACAAAGAATTTTTATGGATGGGCTAAACAACGGTGGACTTTATATTTTTATAGACTCCCTAAGGAAACGGCTGTTTTCAGACGAGAGTCTACTTATTGAGCGTGAAGAAGTTATTGACTCTTCATTAACCATTAGAGGACTTGTGATGTATGGCCGAATGGATGTTCATAGTGTGTTTTTAGACAAGTCCATATCAGGAATGGTTTGTAAACTTGCTGAAGCCTTTAATGCATTATCAATTAATACATTTCTATCGAATACCTTAACGAACCATACTAAAATCTCAACTTATTCCGCTATGTGTTTTCAATATTTCCACACCTCTTGCTTTATGTTTGAAATTAAATCCAAACCCACTTGCCATGGTAAATGTTAAATATTTTCATTTTTTTTTTTTTTTTGCATTTTGCATAATATATTCACCAATTTTTAAATGATTTTCGTGCATTACACACAAAATATGCTGTAATCTGATAGATTTATTGAATTTTATTTTAAATGTTCAGGCATGTTCAGTTGTCGGGTTATTTGGGCCAAGTGATTGACAGTAAATTGTGTGCAAATAATTGTCCAGACGAATGTGGCGATTAGCGTAATGCAGTGAGTGAGTCCATTTAAATAAAAATATCTGCGATTAAATGTATTAAATTATAAATTAAAATATTTGCGTGATTATTGTAAATATTTCACTTGAATGGGCCAACGAGACCTGTCCGCATCAGAACGACTCTCAATCTCGATGACATTTTGAACAAATGTTGTCGGTTTTGTTTTGCGTTTTTTTTTTTTCGTTTCTTGTCCTTTTGTATTTGATTTATTCAAATTGAATTATAAAAAATCCTAAATTGAGAAAAGAAATAAATGTGACAATAAATTCCAACTCTGCTGCTGCAGCTATGCCGCAATGTCCAGTAATTTAATGCTAAATTATGTAAAATAATCGCAACGAAAATGTTTGAAATAAATCTTTTGGGGTTTTTTGTTTTTTTTTTCGGAGGTGGTGTTTGCTATTCGCAGTTAGAGGTTTCACATTTCATTTGGGTAAATGTTGAACAATCAGCAGGTGTGATTTCTGCACACACACCGAATTGTTGGACGGACGAGCGGACACTTTGAATGGACAAAGGCAAATACCTGTATTCATGGTTTCACTCCTCCCCCTCTATAAAACAGAGATCATTTTCTTTCCATTAAACCAAATGGGGGTTTGTTTCGTTGCTGTTCCTTCTTTTGATCTTTAGTGGAATTGTGCAATGCTACTGTTTCCTTTAACTGATAATTAAAATGTACATATTTTCATTAGACTTTAAGAGGTATCAAGCGGGAATTCAGGAAATTTGTCAAAATAAATACAGAGGCTTATCCTCATAAGGTGTAGGTCTGGTCCACTAAAACTCATTCCCGTTTATTTGTCGGGGACTGCGTCTACAATATTGATAAAGTATAGAAGCTTGGAAAATATAAATTAATTTTGGGATGCAGCGTCACTTTAACGACTTCTTCACCTTTAGACCATCAAATATCGCCCGATCATTCCTTGCTTGCCGCTTAAGACTCCATAGCCTTCATGACGTTTATAGCCTGGCCTTAAGTTGACAAGCTGGGCTAAAATGAATATCTGGACTTTAGTTCGGAACGCCAAAACATTATTTCTCGGTGGTAGCCTACTGAGGATTAATTTAATTCCCCCAGATTTTAGTTCGCATGCAATGACTACAGTTCATCTGTAAACCTTCCCTGACCTTAGGATCAACTATAAGGACTCTCTAGCTTATTTTAATTAGTCTATAAGAGGAGTCAAGTTGGAATTCGAGAAATTTATATTGTAAGAAAATGTAGAGACACTTAATGCCACGAGGGATTAGCTCTGGTCCACTAAAAATAATCACTCTTTGTATTGGATAAATACACCTTCTGGAACTTCATTGACTATGTCGATGGACTATAGATGTTTGGGAAATATAAATAAATTTTGCAATCGCTTGGAACCGTTAGACCATCAAATATCGCTCGCTTATTTTTTACTTGCCTTTTAAGACTCCCTAGCTTTCAAGTCGTCTATGACCAAGTCTTAAGTTGGCAACTGGGCTAAAATTAATATCTGGACTTTAGTTTGAAACACCAAAACATTTTTTAGTCTTGGGAGAATTTATTATACCCTACACAACTATGTTGTCAGGGTATTATAGCTTTGTGCAGCCCCAAGAGTTTGTAACGCCGCGGAATATTGGTCCTAGACAAACCTTTAAGTATACCGATCGTCATATCTCGACTAGCTGAGTTGATCTAGATATGTGTGTCCGTCCGTCCGTCCGTCTGTCCATTATAATTTGTGAACACGATACAGGCCACAGTTCACGAAATTTTGCATGTAGGATGGGTTCTGGCTAATGAAGACGCCTATTGTTTCTGGTAAAGATCGGTTAATATTTAGGGGATGAAATGGACCAAATACTAATTTTTTTCGGTTTTTTCTGGCCGCTCCAGAGCCCGCAATTATGGCATGCCTGTTTTAATAAAGATCGGTCAATATATAGCGGATCAAATGGACCCAGACTTTTGTCCGAAAAATTACAAAAGTTGGATTTATGGCGTATATATTTACTCCTAAGGGACATAGACCCGAGAAGTTGATAGTATGTCTAAGAGGAGTGGCTGACCTTTAAATTGAAACCAATTATATTGTCGTATGTGGGAGTTACACTTAAATATTTACAGGTGCTTACGTATTCAGATATTATTTAGTAACCCATTACCACACTAGAGTTCGGAAGTATAACGCTTATCGATTTGAAATTTTCAATGGGGTTCCAGTTATGGTCAAGGACAGCGCTTATAATTTTGGTGATGATCAGATAATATTTTTGGGATGAAGTGGACCGAAAACTTAATTTTGTGCAATTTTTCGAATCGATTTATAGGCCACAGTTATAAGCCGATCATCACCATACAACCCCCGCTGAAGTCAATCTGGACAAGTAATAAGAAGGGTTGTACTGAATATTAGTAATATTCGGAAAATACGTCAGTGTATGGAAGATGTGCTATTGACCTCTAATCGGACAAGAGGGTGCAAATGTCACGAAATGTTTCCCAGGCTCGGAATAAACTTCCTTAGAAAGTTAGAACTCCGTCGTTGTTGTGTAAGGTATCGTATGGTCAGCCCGTCCGACTATACTGCTCCGCTCACTGGTTAAAATTTAGAACTCCAGCCTTGTCTATAAACCTGCCCTGACCTTCGAGTCAACTATAATAACTCCCTGGCTTCAGATCTTGAGAACATAATTCAAATTGACTCTTAAACCTCCTCATAAAGTCATCATAAAGATTTCCTTACATTCAGACAAAGCTCACTGAACATCAAATCGCCTAGAAAGACTTCCTGTCCGTTATGTCTTCTTAAGGGGCCCCCATTCTCGGTTTCAAAAAATTTAATTTTTTGTCTTTATCTAATTCGAACCTACATAAATTCAAGAATGTCCCTATACAACTTGTGTCAACATCAAGCGATGGCTGAAGGGCTTCTCAAACTTTAAACGTGTTTTGTCCAAACAGTGGTTTTGGGAATGACGGGCAAAATACTCAAAA